GTACATGCTGCGCCTTCAATTGAAAACATGCTTCTAAATTTTCGGTAAGACCATTTAATATAGGATGCCAAGCTGAAGAATCATTACATTGAAGATCAACTTTTACCAGCTTATCTTCTAAAAAGAGTTCATTTGAAAGTGCTTCTTTTAATAAATCTTCAAAATTTCCGGACTCTTTAATACCAACCACTGCTGATTTTACTAAAGATATGCCATTTTCATAGGCTGTTACAAACAAATACAACATTTGATGTATATAATTTCCAAAAAAAGTATCGTCAGTTCTGCAGTTTTATTTACTGATACTACACGAAAGAAAAAGAAAAGTTTATCGAACAAAGAAAAAAGAAAAAGAAAATACGATTTGTTCACATGTTAATAATATAAATTAAGTGTTAATACAAGTGGTCAATTGTGATACAATATCACAAACTTAACGTTACAATCATTACATCTAATAAAATAACGTGACTTTATATATGTGTTTAAAATTTAATATGTACAAAATTTTACCCCCCGCCCCCCTCTATTTTTTTCATGTCATGTGATGTTAAACGAAACTATTTGTTGGAGCGGCCTTATTATTAATTATACAGTAAATTTATTACTTTTACAGAAAAGTATAATCATAAAAAATGAGAGTTTTTACCTTATTTAGTTACTTATAAGTACTTTTTGAATCTGTCTATTAACTTGTTAATATCCTGTAAAATTGTTAATATCCCATTCTCTAAAATACATATTACATAAATTCCAATATGTTTTTTTAAATAAAACAAAAAGTTAAAAAATATGATTATATAATTATATAATATAAATATTACAAGTTTACTTACTTTGAATTTTATATCCTATACTTTAATTTTCATTATAACTGATTATTAATCTTTTAGTAAACTACCAAAACAAATTCCATTTTATTTGAAAGTTCTTGTAATAATTTTCCTGTATTTTACTGATCTGTTTTTAGATCATCATCTCTCTTAATTTTTTTACATATCAGTTGTAATGATTCTATTAAATGAAAATTATGATATTTATTTTTTGATTTAATTTTTACTTCCATTATTGAATCTCTTTTTTTATTATAGTGATTACATAAGAAAATAGATAAAATGACGTTTTAATAAATATAATAAATAAGTAAATTAGAATTTAAATAACAAAAAAATGGTGTAAAGTTACCTTTTTACTAATTCTTAATTAAAATAATAGAATTCGATTAAGAGGTTAATAATATTCACCAACTATTAATCTTAAATTAGTAAAATATTGTTTTTTTTTAAAAAAAAAATCTGATTTATAAATAATTACCAGTAAGAAGATTATATACTGCTAAAAGAGAAGTAAAAAACCAATTAAACAAATTTGTATTTGAATCAGGATCTTGAATTATTGTTGTAGTATTATTTATAGTTCCATCTGAATTAATAAAATTATATTTAGTTGCAATATTCCATAAATCATTATTCATCATTAATACTATTTGATCTTAGAATAATGAAAAATGCTTGAGCATATCCCAATATTATAAAAAATAAAAGTACTAAAAATGGAAAAACTGTTTTTGCAACACCAATCATTATGGCAAAGTAAATTCCAAATGATTTAAATACTCTAAAAAATAGTAAAAATTCAAAACTCAATAATATAATAGATATTGCTGTAAACCAAAGTGGTGGGCTTTTATTAATAAGCCAAAAAGTGGATGTTATAATGGATAAAAGATATCATGCTCTTACATCTATTTGTTGATTAAATCAAGTTAATTTTGTTTTAAATATTAGATAATAATTAAATAAATATTACTTACCAAATAAATTCCAAAAATCATTAAAATAAATTTTATAATTCTATAAACAATATCGAATTTCAAAAATTAAAAATATTGAAGCAAATATAATAGAAATTATAAAAAGTAATTTAAAATAAAAATCAGAAATAGAATTTTGTTCTAATGTAAAAGCTAATGAATAACAAATATAAAAAATTATATAAAATAACCAAATCAGATAATAGTAAACTCTTCTAACCCTATAAAAAGTATTTATATTTAAAATATAATTAAAAACTTTTTAAAATATATTTAAAATATACTTAAAATATATTTAATTTAAAAATTGCGAAATACTTATAATATACTTAAAATGTATTTAAAATTATCTTAAAATATATTTCTAATATATTTAATTTTTGCCCAAATACTTAAAATATACTTAAATTGTAAATTTAAGTATATTATAGATATATTTTTTACATACTTAAAATATACTTATAATAATCTTATAATATACTTAAATTTTAATTTAAATATAATTTAAATATATTTTAAGTATATGGGCAAAAATTAAATATATTAAACATATATTTTAAGATAATTTTAAGTATATTTTAGGTATTTTGCAATTTTTAAATTAAGTATATTTTAAATATATTTTAAGTATAATACTTTTTATAGGGTAAAAGTATTCCACTTATAATCTATAATTGCTGCAAAATTCCACCAATTATAAAAATGATTACTATCTATATTACAAAATAGAATAGATTTTTGTTTATATAAAAATTCATTCCAAATACTATTACTTTCTGGTATTATCATGATTATTTTTAGTACTGTAATTATTTTTTTTAGTATTGTATTTTGATAATATTATTATTTTTAGTCTTATTATTTTTAGAGTAATGTACTAATGTTTCTTATGATCATTATCTTTGTTCTTATGATCACTATCTTTGTTCTTATGATCATCATCTTTGTTTTTATTATGATCATTATCTTTATTCTTATGATCATTATTTTTGGAGTTATTTTGGTATACACAAATTTGAGGAAAAGGAACAATAAACCTAACTACTTGGATTTTTTCTTTTATCCTTAAATTCCTTAAATGCCAAGTTAACCATTTATTTATAGACTTAAAAATGTTATTATCCATATGTGATTCTTTAATGAAAATATTTGTGTATGAATGAATCCAAGTATTTTCTGAATTTTCAATTCCATCACAATAAGGAGATAATATAATAGAAGTGTGTAAGATATATTTGATTATGTAATCAGGGCAATCATCACATAATTTTGCTAAGTTTAAACTAATAAAAGTCATGCTATTTACGGAATGATCTTCTATTGATTCAATAGTATTATTAATAAATGGTCGAATAAACTTCATCACAATTTTCATCAATTGCTGTTTTTAACATTTCAATTATTTCAATTCTAAATTTTGATGATGCTAAATCATCATTTATAACATCTTCAGCTATTTCCTTTCTACGATCCATAGATTGTTCCATAATATTTGGGAATGGTAATGAGTGTTTTGATTTATCAAATTCATTTTCTACAATATTTTTAAAAATTTGCTTGTAATGTTCATTAATAAATTTACTATCGTAAACACAGGTCGAAATATGAAAAATCAGTCATCAATCGGTCATATGACTGATTGGTGACTGATTGGTTACCTATTAGTGACCGATTCTTTCAATCTGTTACCTATCGGTCACCAACCAGGCATAGATTGTCAATCAGTCACCAATCGGTCATATGCCGATTGGTGACTGATTGATTGCCGATTTGTTTACAATATTTGATTTACATATTAAAGTTAAAAAATTAGCATTATAGTCTTATAAAGCAAGTTAAATTATACTTAATCTGAACTTTTGAGTTTATTTTGATAAATATATTAAGTTTATTATTGACAATCAGTCACCAATCGGTCACCAATCTGACATAACCGATTGGTGACTGATTGGTTAC